CTTGGGGCTCAAGGAGTAGCGAGGTCTCCTGGAGACTGTCTCCTTAGAGGGCTCAGCCTCCCTTCTCTGTTAGCTCGGGGAAAGATGCAGCCACCCTGGACGTGTGATTTAAAGCGCAAGGTCACACATGCAGCACAAGAAGCTGTGGTGGGGGAGATGCCAGTTGGCCTGGAGACAGCTTTCCAGCACAGCTGACAGCTTGCTCGTGAAGGACATTCCACCTGTGTCTGAAGGGGCCCACGACCCCCAGCCTCACTGTATGGCCTCACAAGTACGGCTTTGCCATCCTTTCTTACTGTCATCTGAACAAATGAAGCTAAAGCCGTGTGGAGTTAAGCAGCTTCCTGTCTCTGGTGACCAGATGACTAGAAAGCTACCAAAATTCATCCAAACACACTGTGACTTCTTAGCCTTAGGTGTGCATTGCCAGCCAAAGAATGGTTTCCAGCTCTTCAGTCTTCCTGTGTCCTCCGTCTAGGAAGGTGGCCCTAGGCTGAGAATCTTCTGCTTCGTTTTGCTGATTTCCTTTGGTGCCACAAATACATGCTGGTTTCGGATTTCTTTGAGACTCAGAACCCTTGTGGGCACTCACAGTTGTTGCTTTCGTATTGTGATTTTCCATCCGGTCCCTTGGATTTAGTCGCTGCTGTTTGGTTTCTGTATCACAAAGACAAGCCTGGTAATGTGTGAACTGCAGTATTTGTTCACATGATTCCAGTCCCTAGTCTGCTGCTACCAAATGTATGTCATTAACATTTCCACTTTGGATTAAATAAATGGAACAAATAACATTAACTGCTAGTGGAATATTTTCACTCTGCTTATCGCTAGTCTTTTAAAATGATGCCTTTCTGGTGATTTTTGTTTTTCTGTTTTTAGTGTCATTCTTCCACTTCCTCAGAATGTGAAGGATTATTTACTTGACGATGGAACTCTGGTGGTTTCAGGAAGGTACGGTATATCACCAAAAAATTCTTTGTTTTATCTAAAGAACTGTTGTATGTCTTGACATTTACCATATAAAAATAAATGAAGTAACTTGGGCATCATTCCTTCCCTTTAACACATTTGTTTTTTTTCCTGGCCAAAATTATGTGCTGATCTTGGTTCCATATTCCTTGTCAGTGCTCAGTTAGTAGTTTCAGAATTAATACTGCCCCTTCAAATAGATACTGGTTGTGAATTCAGCAGTTCCTTCCATCTGTGCCTTTAGAGAATGGCTATGGTGATAACCTCCCCTTCTAAAGGTAGCAGAGTATGGCAAAGGCCCATTATAAGACTTTGAGATCCTTGAGTTTTTAAAATGAGAAGTTCATTGTTCATCACAAACAGTAAGCTTTGCTAAGGTTTATCATTTTTTTTAAAGATTTATTTATTTGAAAGTCCAAAGTTACACAGAGGAGAGAGGCAGAGAGACAGAGAGAGGTCTTCCATCTGCTGGTTCACTCCCCAATTGGCCGCAAAGGCCAGGGCTGCGCCAGTCTGAAGCCAGGAGCCAGGAGCTTCCTCCAGGTTTCCCACGCAGGTGCAGGGGGCCCATGGACTTGGACCCATCTTCCACTGCTTTTCCAGGCCACAGCAGAGAGCTGGATTGGAAGTGGAGCAGCTGGGTCTCAAACCGGTGCCCTTATGGGATGCTGGCGCTTCAGGCCAGGGTGTAACTGCTGCGACCACAACTCTGGCCCCGGTTTATCGTTTAATTTCTCAACATTTTGTTCCCCACAATTGACATTCCATGGGCCCACGCCCACCTTCTAGAAGCTGCTCAAGTAGTTCCCAGAATTGTAGGGGAAAGGGAAGTTACTGTATTTCCATCTTTTTAGAGCAAACTTGAAAAAGCTTAAGAAGTATGGAATCTGGTGAAGTTTCTGTGTTTCATTTAGGTCTCTGCTCAGAAGTCATAGTATCTAAGTGTCTATTTTTCACCTTTCTAAAATAGCTACTATCAGGGCACCTTGCTGGTTCATCACTCTTTATCTCTCTATATTTCTTCATAACACTGAGATCATCTGAGTAATAATTAATTCCCTTAACTGTTCTGTTGGAATCCAACTTGAAGAGAGTATATCCTTGCCCAGTTTTGTTCACCCCATCTCCTGGAACAATGCCTGATAGGTAAGAGGTGCTTGATGAACATTTGTTGGGTGAATGAACCTTACACGTGTAATTAGAGTTGTCTGTGTTGTCAGTAACACTAACTTGACCCCATGCTTTGCATAATGGATTTTTAGTGTGGCTTTCAGGATTATATTTCCGTTTTGGTATTCACAGCACTTTAACCTGAGAATTGTTTGTTTAGAACCTCATTAACTTGGAAAATTGGAGGATAAAGAAAAGGTAGACAAGTCTCAACTTTGGGATGTTTACAGGGAGAATTTTCTTATTCTCAAATATACATATAGCTTATATAAATGAGATTATAATATAAATGAAATGCTTTTTAAAAAGATTTATTTGTTATTTGTTTATTTATATATTAGATATTTATATTATTGTTTGTTTATTTATTTATTTGAAAGTCAGAGGAAAAGGAGAGACAGAGAGAGAGAGGTCTTCTATCACTAGTTCACTCCCCCAATTGGCTGCAACAGCCAGAGTTGCGCTGATCAGGAGCAGGAGCCAGGAGCTTCCTCCAGGTCTCCCACACGGGCACAGGGGCCCAAGAACTTGAGCCATCTTCTACTGCTTTCCCAGGCCACAGAAGAGAGCTGGATTGGAAGTGAAGCAGCCGGGTCTCAAACTGGCACCATTTGAGGTGCTGGAACTGCAGGTAGTGGCTTACTTGCTACGCCACAGCACCGGCCCCTGAAATGACTCTTACGATAGAAGATACTTGGTAGATTTCAGTACTGTAAACATACTGAAGGATTCCTAAGGCTGATTTTCATTGTCTGGATGTTTGCATAAGACCCAGCTAAGGCCAGGGCTGTGAAGTGCTGTTAGCAGTGCTGTCCAGCACATGGTGCTATGGCAGCCATACACAGATCTCTGAGGGCCCCTGCCCTTTGGGGTTGGCAGCTTAGCTTTATATTTTGTGGGAGTCAGTATGACACAGTGCTGGTTCTTTAGTCAGATTGCTAGGTTCACATCGTGTCTTCATTATTTGCTGACTCTGTGCCTCAGTTTCCTTGTCTGTACATTGGATGAATGATAGTGTAGTGCTTATCTCTTAGGGTTGTTGCAAGGATAAAAAGCAATAATGTGTAATATGTCCAGCCCAGTATATTGTACACTCTTTTTTTAAAAAATTATTTATTTGAAAATCAGAGTTACACAGAGAGAGAGAAAGAGGTCTTCCATCTGCTGGTTCACAACCCAATTGGCCACAACGGCCGGAGCTGCACCGATCTGAAGCCAGGAGCCAGGAACTTCTTCCAGGTCTCCCACATGGGTGCAGGGCCCAAGGACTTGGGCCATCTTCCAGTGCTTTCCCAAGCCATAGCAGCGAGCTGGATCGGAAGTAGAGCAGCTGGGACTCAAACCAATGCCCATATGGATGCCGGCACTGTAGGCAGTGGCTTTACCTGCTGTGTCACAGTGCCAGCCCCTATTGTACAGTCTTTTTTTATTTATTTATTTTTTGACAGGCAGAGTTAGAGAGAAAGGTCCTCCTTCCGTTGGTTCACCCCTCAAATGGCCGCTATGTCCAGTGCTCTGCGGCTGGCACGCTGAAACGATCCGAAGCCAGGAGCCAGGTGCTTCCTCCTGGTCTCCCATGCAGGTACAGGGCCCAAGGACCTGGGCCATCCTCCACTGCCTTCCCAGGCCACAGCAGAGAGCTGGCCTGGAAGAGGAGCAACTGGGACAGAACCCGGTGCCCCAACCGGGACTAGAACCCAGGGTGCCAGCGCTGCAGGCGGAAGATTAGCCTAGTGAGCCACGGCGCCGGCCCCCTATTATACAGTCTTAAGAATTACTAACTAGTCTCATTGTCATTAATCTCAGGATGAATGTTAAGCAACCACACAAGAAGATATATCAGTGAAAATTGGGATAAATGTTGTCAAGGAGATGAGGTGGTCACTGACATTAAATTGCTGGGAGGGCTAAGGGTCGTGGGAGGGTCAGGATGTGTGCCCTGAAGGAGTGGAAGGTTGGGGAACACAGTTGGTTGAAGGGCAGAGGGAAGAATGGCCCATGCTGAGGGAATGGGAAACCATGACTAAGAGGCTGGGAAAGGTCAAGTGGCTGGAACAGAGACGGCTGAGTGCTGAGAGGCATGGCTGATAACAGCGAAGAGCTTTTCAGGGTTCAGTTGAGGGAGGTGGGTAAATGAGTCGTGTGCAAGACCCTAGAATTTATTCTGAGAGTGACAGGAAGGCCTGAAGGGCTCTAAGTAAGAGAGTGCTTGATCGAATTCCAGTTTCAGAGCGGTGGCTGGTTACGGTGCTACAGACATGGAAGACTGTGAGGATGAGGTTTCACTGGTTCAGCTGAGGCCCGTGATGGACTGGAGCTAAGCTGGTGACAGTGGGAGCTAAGCTGGTGACAGTGGAAGGGGAGAAGTGCTGCCTCAGAACTTGATGACGGAGAGGGAGGGCTCAGAGTGCCTCCCATGCTTTGACTGAATGGCCAGACAGATGAACGGCTGTGTCGCTAGCTCAGATTGAGAAAAGCAGCGGCGGATTTATTGAGCCTTTGATTGTACAAGGGTAGTCATTTTAGATGGGATTACTTTCATAGGTCAAAAACTTGATAGTTTTAGATGGAATTGAAATGAGGTGCATTCACAGTAAAGTGCACAGATCTGTAAACACCTTGTGGAACAGTTCCATTCCTAAGGAGGGTTCCTATCGCCTATTTCTTCACTTAGATCAGTCAGTTCTAGAGTGTCATATACACAGAATTGTATGCCAGGCGTTCTTTTATGTCTGACATCTTTAACTCAGCACGATTCTTTTGAGATGCATTTGTGTCATTCCATTTTATTGCTGAGTAGTATTTGTGGAACCTGTTTTTTAAAAGCTCAGTTTTTGTGTTTTTGTATGTAGGCTTGGGTGTGTATCCATCTAGTGTATTCCTTGTTATCTTAACCTCTTTTGCTTTCCTGAGTTCAGAAATAAAAGTTAGTTAAGTGAGTTTATGTGTATTTAAAATATTACTTATAGGATATCATAACTGTATCTATTAATATGTGGAAATCTGAGCTCCTATATCTGAAATATCTCCTTTTTTTTTTTTTTTTTTTTTTTTTTTGACAGGCAGAGTGGACAGTGAGAGAGAGAGACAGAGAGAGAAAGGTCTTCCTTTGCCGTTGGTTCACCCTCCAATGGCCGCCGCTGCAGCCGGCGCACCGCGCTGATCCTGGCAGGAGCCAGGAGCCAGGTGCTTTTTCCTGGTCTCCCATGGGGTGCAGGGCCCAAGCACCTGGGCCATCCTCCACTGCACTCCCTGGCCATAGCAGAGAGCTGGCCTGGAAGAGGGGCAACCGGGACAGAATCCGGCGCCCCAACCGGGACTAGAACCCGGTGTGCCGGCGCCGCAAGGTGGAGGATTAGCCTATTGAGCCACGGCGCCGGCTCTGAAATATCTCCTTGTATCAAGTGATATAGTGTTTTTTTTTGTTTTTGTTTTTGTTTTTTTTTTTTTTTGACAGGCAGAGTGGACAGTGAGAGAGAGAGAGACAGAGAGAAAGGCTTTCCTTTTTGCCGTTGGTTCACCCTCCAATGGCCGCCGCGGCCCACGCGCTGAGGCCGGTGCACCGTGCTGATCCGATGGCAGGAGCCAGGTGCTTCTCCTGGTCTCCCATGGGTTGCAGGGCCCAAGCACTTGGGCCATCCTCCACTGCACTCCCTGGCCACAGCAGAGAGCTGGCCTGGAAGAGGGGCAACCGGGACAGAATCCAGCGCCCCGACCCGGTGTGCCGGCGCCGCAAGGCGGAGGATTGCCTAGTGAGCCGCGGCGCCGGCAATATAGTGTTATATTTACAAATAAAGATAGTAAAGTTAATA